ACAAGCATGAGTTACATGCGAAGCCATCCGTACAATGTCAAACATGAATGTGGTTCGACTCTTAAGCGAAATAGTAACGTCTAATACCGCTGCTGTGATCAAACGGCAGATGGATTATTTAATTTAAGACAACCCGCGACTGTTACTGTGGGCTTGCTTATATCCGGTCAGCCTTTATCTTTGCTTCATGATTTCAATGTATATGTATCGCAGCACTTCATGTTTGCTGTGGAAATGATCCTGTGATACTTACACATGAATACATTTAATGTTGTTTGTCTATCGTTGTTTTTTTAAATCTCGATTGTACATGAATATGGTTGTCGGAAGTTAAAGCCTGTAACGCTCAAAATATACAGTATACTAAATACAACTCGGAAGCTATATAACCTCCAGCCCGAAAATTAACTCCCTGAACAATAAGCCGCTGCAACAATTTGACAGCCAGAAGGACTTGGATGTGTGTATTACTTCTTCAATCAAACCAACGCTGAACTGCGCGAACTCGAAGATGTCGGCCAGATCCAGATTGCAACTGATTGCACGTGCCTTAAGGAGTATGAAAAGGATTGCTCCTCCTAAATATTCGGAAACCTCGCTCGGCCGCACCTAGGATTCGCTACCCAGGCATGGAGACCTTGGACCTTCAAACACTGTACCCTAATAGAGAAGATCCAGAGGCGAGCCACAAAATGACCGAAGTTTTGAACACTCTTCTATGAAATCGGACTGTCGACCATCAACCTATTTCCCCTATCCTAAAGGGATTTCCTACCAAGGGATCTCATAGTAACCTTCCGTATTATGAGTGGTCTGAATTGTTGCTTTGTCCACGATTATTTTTTCACCCAGGCTAGCACGCCCACTTTGCGTGATCCTCTCCTAAGGGCTACGTCCAGGCAAAGCACGAATTGATGTACACCAGTTTTTATTCGGTAAAAGAGTGGTGGCAATGTGGGACGCTGTGTCTGAAGATTTTGCTCTTTCCACCTGTGTGAATTTATTTAAGAACAAAGTGAATATGCATCAGTCTTTCTTCAGCATTCATACATTCATCAGTCACCTGCTAATTTATGCAAGCAGACAAACTACATGTAATAATATTACTGGTAAAGCCACTCGCTTTTTGCCTGCGGATATGTCAAAAATTCTTTTTTATATTTTTATTCTATATCGATGCCTTTCATAGCCACTTTGTTACGAATAGGGAGCTCAAACACATTCGTCTATAAAAGTGAACAGAAATGGGCTGAAATGTACTAATTTGTTGAGAAACTACTGTATATACTGTAAATATTTTGCCAGTAGTAGCAGTTTGCGTTTTTGGGAGACCTGCCGATATTCTGATATTAACATTTCCCAGATTAGCTGCTGTAAAATGTGAAATTTGCTATCCTCGGATATATATAGGGGATTTGACGGTGAAAAACTGATTCCCCCTATAAAATGACATTAGATAAATAATGTCTGGTTTTCGAAAAATACTTCGCCTGATTTTCTACTGGCCAAATAATTGAAGCGGCCTCCATATCGGACTTTACGTCACTTACAGACACATTCGTTTTAATGCACCATCGTATTTAAGTGACCTTAAGTCTGATCTTGCGGTCGGGGTTGTAGTGATTTTCCCTGTCTGTTCATAATGGCTGTCAGTGGCTGCGCTAACTGCTTGAGGGTTCTGACAATAATATTCAATTTTGTCGTCTTTGTAAGTTATTCTGACTATGATTCAGATTCTATAACACGTGGAATTGACTTTTACGTGCTTGTTTGTGAAACACTAACCCCTACGTACGGTTTTATGTAACACCGTTTGAGCTTTCCCTTAGCCTGGGCATTAAAAAAACTTATTTGCTCCTTATTTGCTCCTTATTTGCATTCGCAGTTGTGCGGAATCCTTCTCGTGGCATTTGCCAGCTATGTCCTACATCAATTCAACACGGTCTTCCAGGGACTGAAGGCCCAAGAATATGGCGTCGTAATAGGGTTGCTTGTATTGGGACTCCTGATTTTCTTCCTTGGATTCCTGGGTTGTTGTGGTGCTTGGAAGGAAAGCATCTGCATGCTTACAACGGTATTAGTCCTGTTTATTTGTAACCT